ATATAGCAATAGTCAAAAAGGTAAAAAGCATTCAAATAGAGAAAAGGTGATGTCCACAAAATCAGCAAATAACCCAAATCCAAGTTAGGAGACAAATCAGTCCCAAAATCCAAGAAGCAAATCCATAGGAAGAAAGTCTTTCTTTTCCAAAGGTGGCAAATGCAAAAGTCCCTTGAAGAAACAGGAGCCAACTTGAATCAAATAATCTAAATGCAGTAGCTTGAAATCACAAACACCAGCTTACAAAAATCTCAGCATGTGCATGAATACAAAGCAAGATTATACATGATTCCCCGCATGAACAAGCAAGCATGAAGCAGGCATGAAAACCAAATGTTGGACTTACTGAAGAGTATAGACTCACAGGCCCTATATTTATTCAGAAAGCCATGGCAAAAGCATTCCCTTTCCCTTGGGAAACCTCTCCCTGACCCCCTGATTCTCTTAATCTTTCAGACCGTCTTCTGCCCCCTTCCAGGTATGATGATGATTGATTTGACTTCTCCTATCAAAGACTGGACTACTGCAATGCACTCTACGTGGGGCTGCCCTTGAAAACGGCCCAGAAATTTTAGATGAGCGGCAGCCAGGTTGTTAACTTGTGCTCCTTACAGGGAGAGGTCATCCCTCCTGTTCAAGGAGCTCCACTGACTGCCATTCATCTACCAGACCCAATTCAAGGTGCAGGTTCTTACCTACAAAGCCCTGAACGGTTTGGGACCCGCCTACCTGTGTGACCGCATCTCTGTATACGAACCCACACGATCTCTTCGTTCATCTGGAGAGGCCCTGCTCTCGATCCCACCAGCATCGCAGGCACGATTGGTGGGGATGAGAGAGAGGGCCTTTTCGGTAGTGGCCCCTCAACTCTGGAACTCACTCCCTAAGGACATCAGGCAGGCCTCAACCCTGGGGTCTTCAGGAGGAGCTTGAAGATGTGGTTGTGCGAGTGTGCCTTCCCGGAATAATGATCCCATAGCACTTTGTCCCTCCAAAGCACTTTATACTTTTAGGTCTGCTCGTATGTCTTCCACAAACGCCACTATCGCCTTTTCGTCCATGCCTCAGCACTTTTCCAATTTTAATTTTTACATTTGGCCTTCCCACAATTTTTAATTGTATGTTGTCTTATTGATAATGTTATATGTTTATCGTTTATGTTTTATTTTAATTGCTTGTATTGTTGTATTATTGCCTGCATTGTTGTGTTTGGGCTTGGCCTCATGTAAGCCGCACCGAGTCCCTTGGGGAGATGGTATCAGGGTACTAATAAAGTGTTGTTGTTGTTGTTGTTATTATTATTAAGAGTGTCTGGTCGTCCCTCAGCTTGCCAATTAGTACATTCCTTTCACTATCACTATCTGGCCTTGGCCGTTCAACCTTTTCCTCGGCCCCTTTTTCTGTTAGCATCGAAGCATCTTTGCCTTGGGAACCAACGATCCCAGAATCCTCTGGTTCACTCTGGCTAGAACCAGATACTGTGTCAAAGAAGAGTTCAGATTCAGAGCCTCAAGAGAAACAATGTTTGTTCATCTTGTCAGGCAGCCCATCTAAAGATTACTTAGAAACCATTTCTATTAACAACAAAGACATGAAAGGACTTCGAGATACAGGCTCTGAAGTATGTATAGTGCATCCAGAAATAATACCTCAGGAATTTCAGCGGCCTACCTCTGAAATAAGATTAAAAGGTTTAGGACCTGCGATACCAACAGCAGTAGTGACTTTGCCAATAGAATATGGAGGATGGAAGGGTATGTGGGATTTTGCAGTCA